CCCCGCCGGCTCGGCTGGAGCGGGCAGGCCGTGGGGGGCCAGGAGGTGCTGCTGGTCAGCAGCGAGTAGTTTGACTTTTTTGAATTGTCAGCGTAAATAAAGGTCTTAAGGATGCATATGTGGTAATTAAGGTAGAATAGGTCCTTCAGTTTGGGAGGAAAAGCGTAGAATAACGGAGGTTGGAAGAGGCCGTTAGGATCATCGAGCGCAACGCTGGTTGGATGAGATGCTACAGGTAATAAATAGGGTCCCGAGTAGAAATTTTATTTCGATCCTTTATATAATGGTAAGAAAAGAAAATGGGTTACTTGGTCATTATTGAACTGATACCTCAATAGGGGATTCAGTTCAATATTTGGACAGTGGAAAAACTAAAAAGAAAATGGAAGGCAGGACCATGCCAGTGTTTAAAGAGGAAAGGACTTCCGGAAGCACATTCTTCTTTAGATTACTTGCCCCAAAATGCAGCAAAAGAAATATTTCCATAGATCAGAAAGCTAAACTTTTTCACTAGTGGTACTGATTTATTCTGTTACTTACACTAGGAGCAAGAGGTAGTAAATTGACATTAACCCTTAATTTTTTTCTGCTGTAATTTTAATTCTAGTATCAAAGAAGATGTTTGCACTAAGTTTATATTTTATAATGCTTTTTACCCCTAGACTTTTATATCTTGGTAAAACTACCTACAGTACTTAAAGTTACTTTTCTGTTGTATCTGCTACAGTTGTATAATAAACATGCTAAGATGGTTGTGTGTACAACCTCACCATTTGTCCATTTACATTTGATACTAATGGATTAAAAAAAAAAAAAATCAGTTTCTTCTGCCCTTGCTTGCCAGTTGAATTCTGCTGTAGGTGTTGGTGAGACAGTTAACTAGGAAAACATACACCTCTAACTTGGGTCATATTAAAACAGTGGAGGAAGGACTAGCTGGCAAATATTGTGTTGAAAGTGTAAATGAAAGTATAAATATCAAGTCTACATGTGTTAATGATTTGTGGTTTGAAAAATTTTTCATATTTACATTTTTGGAGGTTTTTTCTCTCTTTTAAACATTGATCTCTTTTGTCTGGTAATATTAGGAGCATGTTTTTAATACATATTAACAAATCTACAGCTTTGTTTTCCACAAGTCTTTAATTTCCCTAAATGTTTTGAACAGTAACTGGTGTGATATATCAGAACTTAGGTGAGCATTCAGTCAGACAGCAGGTTGGGTACTAAATTCAACTAAACATGGAGGAAAAGTAGTGCAATGCTGCCAAAGATATGGAAGTGCTACTCTTCTGCCTTTTTTGGTTCTCATCTGCCAAACAAATCTGCAAGTGTGGAGTGACTTGGTGTTTAACGATGCTGTCTCGAAGCAAGAGTCTGTATGAATTTTTGTGTGTTTTCTGTTCTTGAATGTTTCTTTTTTTTTTTTTCCTAGGAATTAAGTACAAATCCAGTTTTTTATTCTTTTTATTTCCCTCACATATATATTTTCTCTTTACTGCTTCTACTGTGAAAGTTCACTAGACAGTAATTTTACAAAGAAATTGAAAGCCTTCTTTCTTCATGGTTTACTTTAGTGGAATCTTGCACCTGCACAGACTTTGCTGCAACATTTGCTCTCCTTGCTGTTTAATTTATATCAGTACTGCACTGGTTTAACTTTCTGAGTGGAAGGTTGAACATCAGTATTTTCAATGCTATTGATAATTTTGTTTTTGCATCCATGTAACTTCTTGCACACTGAAGGGTAGCAGACATGTTACATTATTCCAGTGATGGTATTAAAGTGTGTATAACAATGCAGATGCAGCTGGTGTAGAAGGTGTAAATAATCAGTGTATCATTTTGAAACAGGATGTGAGTCCTTATTATAATTTGATGAAGACTGTAGTATCAATTCTGTTTTATTGAACTTGTTATTTAGGAGGCAGTGTTTAAACTGAAACAAAAAAATATGTGGCTTTTATACACACATTGCATGCTAGTATGATTTAGATAACAACAAACAATAATTAAATGGGGAGAGTGAATCTTATTTTCTCTTTAGCCATCCTGATTATATGATCACAGTAGAATATTGTCAGACTTTTCAATACACCAGCAAAAGTGAACACTTTTCAATGAGTTGCGTAACATGAATAACAAATATATCCTCTCTCCTGCTTAATTTTATTTAGATGTCCTTCCTGAAACATTTTCTAATTTATATTATGTTAGTATTTGTACAAAGGAGGTAAGAAAGAAAATACAGGAAGTAGGACTTTCATTATTTTAATAATTACATCTTGTAAAAACAAATTAAATCTGTTGTTCACTTGCAGCTTTTAATGTAAACTGTATCATTTGAATAGGGGGAAGTCATACTGCTGTACTGGTTACCAGAGACTATTTGTGACCCTCCGGTTTTGTAAAAATAATGAGTTACTGCACAAGTAAATGTTCTGCTGCCATACTCCCATATTCTTTAAATAATGCGATGGACTATGTTATATACTTCTGGTTTGTTTTTCTGAAAATATGAAGATTTTATGAATTCCTGCAATAATCAATTTATCCTGCATCCAGTTGACATTTACCAATGCTAAGGAAAGTGTGGGATCATCCTAACTTTCTTACTTTTCATGTTTCAGAGATTCTCACAGTTGTCATGAGGAAAATAACTCGGTTGTTCTTAAGGCAGTTACAGACATTTGAAGTTCAGAGTTGCAGGGTAACTCGGGTTAGAAGGAACCACTAGAGGCAACACAGCCTGAACCCCTGCTCAAAGCGGGGATAATGTTGAAACTGAATCATGGTCTTCAGGCTTCATTAAGTTGAGATCTGGAAATACCCAAAGAATGGAGAATCTCCAAAGAATGGAGAATCTACAGCTTCCCTGGGCAACCTGTTCTGCACAGAAGGGTGTGCATGTTTGGATGAAAAATACTTGGTTTGTCATTACCAGATTTTTTATTCAAATGTATAGATATATCTGAGATTACAGTTGTGTTGAGTTATCACTAACACCACCACCCCAAATTTAAATAATATAAATGGTGAAGAAAATACTTATATATTTGTCTGTGTCTGACAGTGGCCCAGATTGGAGATCTGTTTCAGTTCTGTTTATTATAAATGTTGCTTATTACTCAGAGGATTCTTTTAGAATTTCAATAATACTTTTGTTAGTTTTAAGAACAGTTAAAATAGGAATAAGTTTGAGCAGCAATCTACTTAAAATAATTCCTTTTATATGGGGTTAATTTTCTGTATGTAGATTTAATACTTATTTTAAATAATATGGAGCTTAAAAAGTTCTCTCTCTTAGGTAGAAGAGCTGATGAATGCACTGGAAAAAACTAGACAAGAATTAGATTCTACCAAAGCCCGTCTTGCCTCAACACAGCAGTCCTTGGCTGAAAAAGAAGCACATCTGGCTAACCTGAGAATAGAGCGAAGAAAACAGCTTGAAGAAATTCTAGAAATGAAGTAAGCACACTGATTACTCTAAGTTCTAGAAAAATTAAAATTACTTCTTTCTTGCCATAAGAGAGGGCTGGTTGTTTTTTTTCCTGTAAAAGTTTTTTTCTATGAATATATTGAAGTCTGAATCTAAAGACTTTGAGTAATTGTAAGACTGCTAAGTTCTTTTTAAATATGGAAATGCAAAATTCTTTGGTTTAGAAGTACTCAACAATTGATTTGAGAATTTTTTGAAAGGTGTCCTTTGTTACATGCAAATAAAATATCAACACGGTATAGATAGCATGAGAAATGGAGGGTGTGTAGTTAGCATTCAACAAGGAAAATTCACAGTTGTTATTTCAAAACTGTTTTATTGAGGGAGAAGAAAAACACATACCAAACACTTGAGCCATATGTAACTTCAGCACAGTAGTTGTAGATATCCTTACATTTTAAAGGAAGGTGAATAATCAGATAAAATTGTTTTAACAATACTGTTGAAAATAAGACACAGTAGAGATATTGGTGTATGCTTACTAGAGTTTTATAGGTTTTAAGAATGGCTGCCATGTAATAGAGGTGCAGAAATGCTGTAAGGTAAGCATGAATGTGCACTGAAATCAGAAGAACTGCTTTTGACATTAATGTGGTCTATATCTGTATAGAAAAATGGGAGCATGTATGAATTAACAGTAGTATGTGATATTATATTCTACATCGATATATTTTCTGATTTTATTTTCTGTGTACATTTTAATTTACCTCCGATAACTCAGATGCTCAATGCCAGTATATTTCATGCAGTCATCTATTCTATGTGAGTGCTTTGGTCTATTTCTTCAAGTACATGCTTGATTTTCATCCTAGCATTAGGATTATTTTTTTCTTATAGTTGTCAGTTATTGAGAAACATAGGGGGGAAAAAAAGCAGTATATTTAATTCTGTTATTCTGGCTTTTTTGCTTGAGCACACAAAACCTTGCAGAAGAACTGTGTAGGGCATATATCTTCAGACTGGAAAGTGAGGCTGGCAAAAATGGGTGAAGTTTGAATTTTCTTTTGATAAAAGCTGTTCTTTTTTATGGTTAAAGGACTGAGTGAATGGTAATAGTGGTGAAAGTTTCAGTATCAAAAGTCCAATTGAGGAACAGTTTGAAATTTAAAATGAGATAAGAACATATAGTATGTTTATACAGTGTACATTCTAAAAGTAAAATTAGAAGAAAATTTTAAATTAGCATCTAAGAAGTAAATGATTAAAAATTTCTAGTTAAATGTTTTTGGGGGTTTTTTTGTGTTTGTTTTTTTTCCTCTGAGTAGTCATTAGTATGGTTTATTCTGTAAAAGGCTTCTTTAGTTTTCTTGTATTTGGCCTTTGATTTCTTAATGCTGCATTGTTAGCTGTGTAAGCCTGTAGACTTTTTTTGCCACTAAATTTTTTCTGTCTTCAGGAGGAACATTTGATCATATACAATCTTCATTTTTAATCCTGAACCAACCTGAAGTTCATTTGAAATATGAACTCAATAACAAAACCCTTGTAACCTGTAAAAATAAAATACAATCAATTATACTACATCCTTCATACGTAGGCCATCCCTGATCCTGATCAGGTTCCCTGATCCTTAGGTAGCTTTCCCAGGTACCTACATTACCTGTTGGAGTTTAATACTCTAACTCATGTACAAATCACTCCCCCTGAAATCTATGATTCAATTAAAAACTTAGAATCAGAACTTAGTTTTATTTAACCCCCTCCCTTTTTTTTTTACCTTTTTAAATTCTATCCTACCTTTAGTTCTCTGAATTATGTTATAAGGCTGAGTTTATATTGGAGATGGAATCAGATGGAAATAGAGCTAATGAACAAGACAAAATACCCTTTTTTATTTGATAAGGTATTCTCAAAAACAGATTGCTGAACTAGCTAAGACCCAAGCATCCACTGACAGAATAACGATAATTCTGTGTTGTAGTACTGTATTTAAGTAGTGTGTCTTCTCTCTACTATTTTAAGATAATTTATTAATTGGAAGTATTGACCATAACTTTTATTTGTAATTCTTAAAATTTAGTATTGAATTATTACAATTTTTGGCTGCTAATTTCCAGTTAAATAGGCATGAACTGTATCTTTAAGAGTATTCACTATGATTTCCAATGCTTACATTATGTTCAAGTTCCAATCATAACTCTGCATGCTAAGCCCATCTGGCTGACATTGCCAAGATCCATCTTAATTTACGGGATGGATTTATCCATCTTAATTGGCAACGATCCATTGTCATTTTTAGATAATTTCTTCAGTTGTCATTGAATGTTGCAATATACATTCAGGTACTTAAGGAAGTTCAGAATAAAAAAAGAATTGCAGCTTAATCTTTTTTATTATCTGGCTGGTCTTTTAGAACTCAAAGCTTGCTAAGTGCCCATTAAATGAAAAGTAGTTTGATGGAAGGAGGTAAACATCATATCATTATTAACATGCTGCATAAGTATGAAAAAATAAGATTTATTTTAGAGAATACCAGAGTATTAACTTTGGAGAAGGATTTGCATTTGCATGTTACTTTCTAAATATGTGAATCTTTTTTCCAAATGTCTATTAAAAATATTACTGTATTAGTTCTGGAGGAAATATTTTTGTTATGGTTGTATTATTTTAGCAGTGCACACATAACTCATCCTGACATTAATGGAAGTTATGCATACATGTTAACAGTGAAATGCAGCATGTGTTCAAATCCATCATTTTGCCTAATTGTCTTAATGCTTTGTGCTTTTTCTGTCTCTAAGCATAAAAAAAAAAGATAATTAGTGCACTTTTAATAAGCTATGGTTTTTAAAAAAGAATCTTTATTGCATAGTGTGACAAAAGGCATATTAATGTTTTTTAAAATTTTATCATCAACAGATATGTTTCAGTTGGCCTGAACTTAAAAACTGGTAGTTAGAAATGTATATCAAGACCACTTTTTCCAGACACTGTTTTCTGAGAGTCTGCAAGAAGCAGCACAGCCCACTGAGAACTTCACAAGGCTCACCTAGAAAAGCTTATTCATTTTGTAACCTGAAGGGCTTGAAGATAGGAGAAGTTCCTGTGCTGCCATGTGGTGGAGGTTATTTCAGATGCTCCAAAAATGCCATATTTGTGGAACGTACTTTCATGACCACAATATGTCCACAATGCTAACTTGCAGATGTCCTTTCCTATATGGTGGTTCCTTCCAAAGCTCATAAACCTGCTTGTAGCAAAATGAGATAGCTGTGTAGAGTGATAAATGAGTATTTATCTAATACTAAAATTGCTCTATGTATGTGTGTGAAATGAATACCTGTCCTTATGGAAAGTGGATTTTACTCTAAGGGATAGATTATCTTTTTAGAAATAGTGAGAATTATTTTCCCTTTGAAAAATATAAAGTTTGTTTTGGAGGGCCAATAGTCATACAATGAAGTCTAATGACATGTGAGGGAAAATATATGACAGTTATTTATCAGCTTTTTTGTTAGCTCAACTTCTGAATTATATGCCTGTAATCTTTAAGCTGCAACCACTGAAGTTAAAAACAGAACAAAAATTGCCAACTTTTTGATCCCTGAAACTTTGTTTCATTGTTATCTTTGTTATCTTTAATTATCTTTACTTCGAAATATTTTTAAATACAAGATTAAAAACAAACAAAAATTATTTTACTATGGTTTTGCATTAATTTGATAATCTTTCAGTGACCTCATTGCAATGTGAGAAATGCTGCACTTAGGAGTGAGTGGCCATGGAATTAATCCTCAGAAGGCTGAACTTCATTATTTTGCTTGAAGATCTGTGAATTCTTAATTTTTCAAGATCCAGCTGTTAATTACTTTTTCCTCTAGCAGTCAACTCAGTACACTCAGTGCTCTGAAGCTTTTAGAGTATCCTGAATGAAATTCTTGCCAAGAGCTTGAAAGGCAATTTCCTTACCTTTGATAGAGTTCATGCCATCACCTAGGGGTATTGCTAAATCAGTTTTGTTGGAAGTGACTTTGTCCTGAAATTCACTACAAGTTTCCAGAAGAATATATACATTTTCCCTTATGTAGAATAAATCAGATTACTTCAGTAATGAGGCATTAAAGATCTCCTAATAAAATAATCAGCTACTAGTTCTTTCATTCAACAACCAAAAGAGAACATTGCTGTGCTGTCAAGAAAAAAATTACTTTTAAATTAGATTTTGCAGTAAATTTTCTTACAGTGACAGTATAAAATTAAACATCCCTTCCTTTGTTTAAGAATGTCCACCATTTTTTTTTCCACTGGAAATAATAAATGAATATTGCTTATCTCTGTTTTTTCAGTATGTTTACTTTATTCATTTACCAGCACCTGTGTATAGTCAAGGATGAAATATTTGTGGGAAGAAGGGGATAAAATGTTTTTTCCAGCAAGCATTCAGTCCCACCAGCTGCCAGTCTTTGCAGAAGTGCTGAACATGTTCTGCGCTGTTACCTGCTGGGTTAATGGTTCAGCTGCTCTGCCAAACAAGCAGAGGACACGTGCATTTGCCACTAGATGCCAGTCTCGGGTACAAGACTATGGTCTGGATCTGCTTAGTTCAGCAAACAGAATAAGCCCCTTCACAGAGTAGGCAGGAAGGTTGTGTTGTTGCAGGCAAGAGGATCGGTCTTGTCCATTTGTCTGTCACCTGGTCCCATCCTTTCCTTTCGTGCAGAAATTTCAAGCATGGACAAGTATAAAAAGGCTTCAAGTGGACTTTTGAGGGTATTGAAGGGATAAAGAGGGTCTTTGAAGGAATTCCGGAAGTCAGGAATCACAGCCTAAGGGGATAACTCTGTAAGATGTAAAACTAGAGAGTCACAGTCAGAGTTTGTAGGGACGTCAAAATGCTTTATGAAGTACTAGTGGCAGAAGTATAAGGAAGTTTACAAATCATCTGGTTTTCTGCAGACATACCCTTTTTTTCCATCTATAAATTTTACTGGAGTAGAAGTTGGGGATTTCACATCTGTGTAGCAGCTCA